ACATTAAAAAGTTCCCGTTAATTCAGGTATGTATTGGGACACTATTGGGACACTTTTATTCGATGAGATATGGAATTTTTACCTTATTCGGGAAGTCCTATAAAACTTTATCGTATATTTTACATGGAGTGTCCAAACAAATAAGGCCTTGAAAATATTTTGACCTTAGAAAGGGAAAGGGGTTCCCTTTTTCAACATTCTGTATAAAATTTTGCCCCATGAAAATACTCGTATAGACCTATAGCTAGGAAATGTTTAAACTTGCTGAGGAAAAATGATAAGTATCCAGAGTACTTTTCATATAATGTCGTTTTTATTTTAGAATAATTTGGCAAATAATGAACGTATCAAGCTAAAATTTTCAAAATTTCTTTATGTTTTGTTGTATAATGTTCCTTATAAATTTTGAAAGCACAGAGTAGTACTAATTTTATAGCCTCAGTCCACGAACTTTTTGATAACCCCTCGTAAGCGTTCAATAGATTTAGCTGTTTAGATATATACATGTATGTACAAATATGTTAAAAAGTTAACCGATCTAAAGCTGTGGATACACTTTTTACCGGAATACTGTTACCTTTACAGGGAGGAGGAAAAGCCAAAAGAAATGCATTCTTTTTGCTTTTGTTAAAAATATTCATCAAAGAAGTAAAAAAAAAATCATTTTTTTTAATCAATAGTGTGGGTTCTTATTTTTTTAAGATGCGTTTCTTGATGAATACAATAATTTATAATTTCATTGCCTATAATTCAATTTAAGTGGAAACATATTTCTTTTTATGCACATATATTACAGTGTATACACATTTCAAGTCCAAACAAAGAAGTATAGAGCAACATGTATTGACAATACATCGTAGCAAATTTCAAACTTACACTTTCGTTTCGTTTGATCACTTTACCTGCTATTCTCCTAAATTAAATTGTTGAATTTACTTACGAATTTAATGTGATAACATTTTTTTTAATAAAATGACTTATAAAAATTGTTTTTTAATAATTATTGCCATCTTTAATCAGCACATGTTTACATTCCTTCTTCGATGGCCGCCATTTTGGAAACGGAAGTAGACTAAATGCCTGACTTTATTCCGTAATTTGTTTCCCCCCGGAGAAATAGTATGTAATATTAAACAAAAAAATCGTTTTGTTTTATTTGTTTCTTTAATATGATTATGTATTTCATACTGTTTGTGACAATTCTCAAGTCAATGGTCCTGTTACTTTTGATGCATTTCAATGTCCCAACAAATTGTCACACACAAGCTAATAGTTAAATAATTAAAATCTAACCTTGGAAAAAATTGCAAACAATTATCATAATTATCGATTAGATCACTGAAAAGTAATTTAAACCCTAGCTGATCATCATAACTGTATCAAAACATATCAATCTAGTGTGCAAATTATTAACACAGGTAAGGTGACTGCGTGCGTTCAGCCGTAACTAATCCCCTCATTATCATACTCAATATGTCATACAGTGTAAACAAAACCTTCACCACTGGGTTTAACCAGCCGTGTAATTATGTCGGATAACACAGGTGAAACTGCAATGCAATTAATAGGCCGTGTTTACAAAGAGGTGTCGGAATTCGGAATGTAAAGTAGTCGGATTGTAAAGTATTTTTCTATATAAGTAATATAAAGATTTTTTTGGGAATAAAGATTTACGTCGGAAGTGCCAGTGTGCCGGTGTAACGTTGAATTTTGACCCGAGTTGAAAATTGACCCGGGGGTCATTTTTCAACGTTGAATACTGAGACCGAAGGTGTTGAATTTAGACCCTAATCCGTTGAAAACTGAGCCGGGTCGTGGAATTTTGATCATGAAACCGGTTCAAAATTCAACAGCATAAAAACATATATTTATGATTGGGTTTTCACTACTGTGATTTAATTCATAGGTATGAGGCCCCGTTTTGGTATTTACTGCAAAAAGAAGTATCCCCTATTTGAATAAGTGATATCACCTGTCCCAAATGATGATATCACCTATTTGATTTGAATTTGTGATATCACCAATTCGAAAAGGTGATATCACTTATTCGAATTGGTGATATCACTTTTTCGATTGGGTGATATCACCTTTTCCCTTCGAACAGCTGTATTTTTTTTTGCTTACAAATTAATTTATTTCACTTATATATCATATATACAACAAGAAAATCGTAGAAAATGCATGAAAACTGGGTAGTCCGAATTTTCTTGGTTCCAGTGTAGTATAATATATATTATAGGGAGCATTCATTAATAACTGTTGTAAGAAACTCAAATAGGTAATATCACCTTTTCGAATAGGTGATACCACTTATTCAAATAGGTGATAGCATCTATTTAGCACGGAAAGGTGATATCACCTTTAATTCTAAGCTCTCTGATTGGCTCAAACTTGTTCACATGATTAAGTATATAAACATAATAAAGACTTGTTTTCGAACAACAACTTTATTGCATATAAACCAAATAATCATCGATTAAAAAAGATAAAATTATCGAATAGGAATGACAAAATTAGCGACTAGCAACAGATTGTTTTAAATATTAATGACATCGAATAGGCACGTACGACGGCGTATTCGTGCCATTTTAACAATGAAGATATAAAAGAAATCGTTTGAACGATTTAAAAAAAACGTACGTTTGTACGATTTAACAAATTGTTTGTACAATTTAATAAATCGTTTGTACAATTTAATAAATCGTTTGTACAATTTAATAAATCGTTTGTACAATTTAATAAATCGTTTGTACAATTTAATAAGTCGTTTGTACGATTTAATAAGTCGTTTACAAGTACGATTAAATAAGTCGTTTGTACGATTTAAAGATTGTTTGTACAATTTAGTAAATTGTTTGTACAATTTAATAAATCGTTTGTACAATTTGTTTATTAAATCGTTTGTACAATTTATTAAATAGTTTGTACAATTTATTAAATCGTACAATCTATTTTTTAAAATCGTACAAACGTTTTCTTAAATCGTAAAAACGGTTTCCTAAATTGTTCAAACGATTTATAAAAAACGTACAAACTATTTTGATAAATCGTATGATTTAACAAACAAATTGTACAAGCGTTTTTTTAAATCGATCAAACGATTTTAAAAAAAATTCTACATTGTTAATATGGCACGCATACGCCGTCGTACCTATTCGTTGTTTTGTAGTTATTTATGGATGCCATGGATTTTGGAAAGTATTTTCAAAAATAAAGTTGTCATGCTTGAAGCAGTGGCGTAACATCGTTTTTGAAAGTGGGGGGGGGGGGGGGGCAGCCGGTGAAAATTTTTTTTCACTTACCTGAAAAAGTTGAGAAGCAAAAAAAAAAGGGGGGGGGGGGGGAGTTGAAAGTTGCCCAAAGTCGAAAATCCTTTATCGGGGGGGGGGGGGGGGGGGGGGGGGGGGGGGGGAGGCTAACTTTTTTCAGTGTCAACTACTTTCAGTAACAATTCTAATACTTCGTTATCGACACATCACTAAAACTGGGGGGCCAACCAGGTTTTCAGTTAACATTTGCTATAGTATAGGTAAGGTTGAGAAAAAAAGTGAGGGGGGGGCAGCCCCCCTGCCCCCCCCCCATTGCTACGCCCCTGCAAAGATAACTGAAACCGTGCACTGATAAAAATGTACATATATACACGGGGTGATACTGTATGTTTATTTCTATTATTCTTGAAAAGGGAAAAAATTGAAACCGAAATATTAATAAAGTGATACTGATAAATCCCGTTAAACAACTTCCCAGCTAAAAAAAATGTTCAAACTTTGAGGGGGGGTCAATATTCAACAGGGTCAATTTTCAACTTGTTGACGTCATCAGGTGTAAGAAAACAAATTATCAAGCTGTTGAAAAATGACCCCGGGTATAAATTCAACGACTTTTAGTCTCAATATTCAACGTTGAAAAATGACCCCGGTTCAATATTCAACGTTGAAAAATGACCCCCGGGTCAATTTTCAACTCGGGTCAATATTCAACGTTACACCGGATTGCACAGTTGTCGGACTGGACAGTGGGCCCTGTATATACTTATTATATTGTTAACTCGATAAATTGTGCACATAATTTACATGTCGACAGCTTCGTAGAAATATAATTATCGATTGAAAAATAACACGATTCTCGTGAGCGGATCTAGATTCCTGTAGAAAAGGCAGGTAAATTTCTTTTAAAAGTTATAAAAAAAATTAAAAAATTCCCCTAAATGTTAAATTGTCGTTATATTAAATTAATTTAATCGTGTACACAAGTTAGGAAAATCTGCACCTGCAATTCTGAAACCGATTTAAACGTGAAGCAGGCAGAAACTTGCTTTGAACATTGTCTCTAAGCAAACGGTGAACGATAACACGTCGAGCGTAGTGCAATGGAATATATAAAAAAAATATCTTCAGGTTTTAGAAAAAATCTAGAAATTAGCTTGTTTGTCGACACACATATTAGATTTAAGACTCCATTTAAACATCCTGTATAAAGTTGATGCACAGATAAAATAAGTGAGAAACGTGAAAATCACATCACATCAAGAAAACATGTCTCAGGTCCTACTTATAATTTAATTTGTATTTGTAAAATTAAAAAAATAGAAACACTTGATTAAAATATTTCCACGAAGCACACAACGAAAAACAAAAGATTCACAAAAGTTGAATTTCAAAAATATATGTATTAAACAAATATATTCATTCGATTCTGAGAGTATTAGATAAAAACACAGTCGTGATCCTATAATTATTGGAAAGACTGAAACACTGATCATCATTGTACCAAATCGTAGAGAAAATGTAGTTATGCAACTAAAGATGACATTACATTCATCGGAAATTAAACATAAAAATATAGAAATACATTTGTTCAAACTGATGAAAGTAAAGAAAATTGAATGATAACTTGAATAAAGATACTGCAGTAATTTAAATACTATACGCTAATTTAATTCTATAGAACAAACTTTAAATCAAACAGGTATACTAGATATGGTACATGTATGAATAAAATATAAATTAACTGTAAGTGTTATATTTTTTCACGGTTTGTTTAATTATTGACATTGCTTTCTTGTAAAATATCTGCTCGTCCTCTGACATATCAGATTTTGCAATGAGCTCTTCCATTTCCCAAGAAGCTTGACATTTTGGACATTTTACAACTGCATTTCCTGCCCTGATATTCTCTTTCATATAATTTAAAAGATTCTCCGGCTCTAGAAATTAAACAAGCATTATTTGATTGATGTACATTTAGGGCATTTTTTTTATTTTAGTATCTCAATAAAAAGAAAATATTAAAGAAATATAAATTTTGTTGATTTCTGATTTTACAAGTAAGGTCAGTGATAGAAATAAATCCATGTCATTAAGATTTTAATGTTAATTAAAACTTATTGAGTTCATTGAACTATGTTCTTATAAGCGATGACTGACTACCTGTTAAATGGTTGCAAGACATTCTGCATTTTTGAGATGGTCCAAACTTGTTTGTAATTGCATCGAGTACAGGGTCAGTGCTTCCATACTCCTCAGATACAGAACGTCTGTCATTTCCAATCATAACTTCAATATGCTTTTGATGTTTCAAAAACTCAACGAATGTAGTATCATCATTATATATGATACCAGATTCTTCCTGTACGATCCAGACGTCTTCCTTTCTTTTATGCAGCTCTTCTGACAAATTTGCTCTTAGGTCAGAAATTATTGTCACGTTCTACAAAATGCCAATCAAACGTCAGATCATTAAACTTGAGCAGCTCATGAAACAACTTTTTTGTAAAATCATTAAAAATTGCCTGACGAGAAAGGAAAAATAAATCAAAACATTAAAACTACTTTTTACATTACTTATTATTAGGTAAAATTTTTTTAAAAAAATTATGATATCAAGTAGGAATTTTAAGAAAGGATAAACAAGAGGCTTATGGGCCACATCGCTCACCTGAGCACATCGGCTAGTTAAAAAACACAAATCAGCTCAATATTGAAAAGCTTGTTGGGGTGGGTGGGGGGTTTATATCTTTTATGACTTGAGAATGTCACTATAACAATATAACATACATACATAAGTTTGCCATTCTTGAAAAGAAGATTTTTAAAGATTTTTCCAGCATATTACTTAATCTCCCATTGTGATCCCTCACTACCCCACCCCACACCCTGTGACATTATTTGAATAAATTTAAATATTCACTATTTGCAGATGCTTACATGTCAATTTGATTAAACAAAACCTCTCTGCTCTTGAATTTTTTTTTCCTATAAATGTATATTCTTTTGCAAAACTTTGATCCCTCATTGTTGCCACATCCTAGCCCAGGGTGTGATAATTTGAACAGATCTGAACATAAACCACCTGAGAATGCTTCCATTACTTCCACAAAAAAAATACAAATCATAGATCTAGATTTTGAGTTCTCCAGAAACATTTTTCAAGATATTTAAGTACGTATTCCTATTATGTAAAATTTATCCCACATTACAAAGTTTAAGTCGATACTTTGACCTTTGAAGCAAAAAATAATCTATCATTTTAGTCAATCGATATGTTTTCATGGATCTTTCCGTTTGATGATTATTATACACAAATAGATAGATAAATACATATGTTTTAAAAATATATACTTAGAAAAATTTAAAGTTAAATTCAATGAAAGTAAACGGAATAATAAGGTTTAGGGAAACATAAAAAGTATGTACCTCTCTGAAATCATTAGGCTTTCCCAGAATTTGGTTTACTGTTAAATATTGCTGAGCTTTTAGTGCATTACATTTTACTACTCTAAACGAATATTTAACAATACTTACTCTCCAACAGTCTATTCTTGTGGATTCAGGATATAGGACAGATCCTTTCTCAATTTTGAGTGTTTGTTCGCATTTTTGTTCAATCGCAGAACAGACCTCGAATTTGGCTGCGTAACAAACTTGTTAAATGTACCCAAAAATGCGACCAATAGTGTCGAATGTGCAGATCAAAATTGTTACTTGTTCACTAGTGTCCGGAGATTCAACCCCTAGTTTCATTGAAGGCCCTAATGCGCCCCCAAACTCCTGCTAACTCGTTCGTCCACATCATTTGTACCCTGGTACACCCGTGATCAGATGAAATACCAGTTTATGAAATATCAGATTTCTTTTCCTATCTTTCCTGCCGCTGTTTGATATTTATTTCAATGATTACCTTCAAACTGCAAGAACCACGAAAAACAGAGAGCGTCCTGAAGTCCATTTTCGTATTACAATCAGTGCCATCAGAACCTTTCGCAGCAGATTCTTCATCTTCTGCAGGACTATCTCTAGAAGTAATTAAGTTACAATATAAAGTATTTTCTAAAAATATATGAAACTTTATGTTAAAAAGAAAACGAAATATTTCACAGAATGTCATTGGGATTTTTTTGCTTTACATAACGATACTCTACACACTACTATAGTGTATCAAGAAAAATGATTTCTGTTCGAGTAATTTGTTCCAACAACCTAATAAATAAAATTAGCTATGAAAGTTTACGTAATGTATTTTAGAAGTAAGACTGCTTTAAGATTGACTTTCAGCTTATCTTTGTTTTAGATACAGATTGATATTTACACAATTTTTTTATCACTGTGATCCTCTTCTTTCTTGTCATGAGCAGCAGAAATACTACCGGGATCTTTGGTTTCTCCCTCCCTATCGAATATACATGTATACAGAAAAATTAATTAAAGAAGGCAATTGACTAACAAAAGGTATTTTTGCCCATTAAATTAGAATTGAATCTTTCCTCTTTTTAGGCAACACCATACTCGGAATTTTGCTATGGTGATGTTTTATGTGCTTGAACTTTAGTGCACTGAGTATATTGCATATGAGTAGAATAAAAACTCTACTGCACCTTCAATCGAAGCAGATTTGAAAAAACATGAGAACAGATAGGCCGTAACAAACTATTAAGAAAACTACAAAATGGAGCATCCTCTTGCAAAATACCATATCAAAAATTATGGCAGCATACAAAACGATCCATTTGCAAATTACGACAAAGGGACAAAATCTCTCAACAAAAATCTTTAGACCTGAAAATTAATGAGAGTATATTTAATTTTAATTATTCTTGAACTTACTTATTTTGTTCTTCTGTTTCTTCATCTTTCATTTCAATTTAATTAGAATGTTCCAGGTGAAAAAAAAGTATATCGGAAATGATAAATGTCAGTTCAGGCAAACTCTCTTACTATTATACATTGTAATAATTCATTGTTTAATTGAGCAATTATGACTACGAAATATCTTTGACGTTAGAAATGATATTATTTGAGACAATGTTTCTCGTTTCTTTTATCTAAATATCAAGAAATTCACCATTGTTTTACTTATCGACAAAATAATTAATACTCTAAAATTTTTCATATAAAAATTAGTTAGTTGATAAAAAAACATTTATCTTACCCTTCTCTGCTGCTTGATCTTTAACTAAGATTGTTTGCTCTAGTAGTGTTGATTCTTCGGAGGGCTGTTGACTCCCTTAAAATAAAAAAAATAAAATGCTGGTAAACAATATTACATTCTCTTGTTGATTTCTTTGAAATAATTCAATTTTTCACAACAAACAATGTTATTTTGTTTAAAATTAATATAACTTTTGTGGATAATCTTTCTAAGAAATGTTTTAAATCTTTGAACAAAAGCTATTTGCTCAAATAAAACAATTAGTAAAATACAATAAATTATCTGTCACAACCATTTCATATTTACAAAAATAACAAAATGTGTTTGTGAGACACAATGCGCCCGGCGGCAACAAAGTTAAAAACATATTGTTAGCATATAGGTTACAGTCAAGGTCACAAGGTCATTGGTCATTGTGATTTGAAAGAACTTGATAAGTGAAGTATGCATATTGAATATGAAGTCTCTGTCTCTCATGGTTCAAAAGTTATTGTAAAGTTTAAGAAAAGCTATCTTTAGCATATAGGACACAGTCGAGGTAACAAGGCCATTGAGCTTGGTATCATGTGAAAAGGCTTAATTATTGGTGTATGCATGCTAAATATTAAGTCCAGGGTTGCAAATAACCACTCGCCCACTCGCAAATGCGAGTAAATTTTCCTGTGGTCGACCAGCTCTTGAGAATATTGTCGCCCACATGGCGAGTAAGAATTTTATCGGACCTTTTCCAGAATCAGATCGTAGTTTGGTTCAACTATCCAATGTACTTTCGTTTTCATACCCCAGGCGGATTTTTCTGTGTTCGATCATTCAGCTGATTCCATTTTTTCAAATATTAATTGCAGCTTTATTTGACATACAAAATATGTCAATCTAGTCAACGTTTACCTTAAATTTAAAGAGTAATTATTATTGTAACAAGAATCTCCCCATTCTTTTTCTGCCGCTATAGGCAGCCATGTTGGGTGTCCACTGTAAATATAACACCTGGTTAATTCACTCCATGTATGTTTGGCTCCTTTATTTATAAAAAAAAACCTAAAAAAAAAACCGACATACCGACCCTTGGTTATTTGGGAATGTTTACAAGAATCAAATATTTTTTAAGCCTAATTCAAAATACATGTCCTGAAACAACTTAAATCAAAAGAAACAAAATTGAATTGAATGATAACATGGAATTTCATACATTTAGTAGTGTAAAAGTCTGCAGGAAAAATTTGAAAAGAAATAATGAAATACTATGGCCTTAAAGTATTTTTCTCTATGTTTTCAAATGAAAAGATTTTTTACAAAGTGAAAAAAATTGTAGGCCCCATAAAATCAATGTGGGCTAGTAAAATTTTTGAAGTTGGGGGCCCACATGGCCCCTAAGGTTTAAATGTTATTTGCAACCCTGAAGTCTCTATCTTTCTTCGTTCAAAAGTTATGGCGAAGGTTAAAGTTTGCCGACAAAAAAGCCATATTTAGCGTATAGATCACAGTCAGGGTCACAAGGTCATTGACTTTGGTATTATTTTAAAGAACTTTATCAGTGGTGTATGCATACCAAATATGAAGTCTCTATCCTTTATGGTTCAAAAGTTATGGCGAAGGATAAGGTTTGCAGAAAAAAATAGCATATAGGTCACAGTCAAGGTCATAAGGTCATTGACCTTGGTGTCATTTGAAAGAGTTTTATTAGTGGAGTATGCATACCAAATATAAAGTCTCTTTCATTCATGGTTCAAAAGTTATAACGAAGGTTAAAGTTTGCAGACAAACAGACAAGACAAAAACAATATACGTCTTGTATCTTTCGATCTGGGCGCATAGAAAATAGAAAATAAAATTATGATTCTCATATATTTGAATTTTGTATACTACCAGTTTTAATTCGCCTCCTGTTTAAGCAGTCCAAAGAAGTTTTCTTTGTTAGAATCAGGGCTATTAATGTTGCCAGGATGACAGTTGATATCACAAATATACATAGGAGGCCTACCAGTACACTGCTGTTTCTAACCAAAAAAACAACTAGCTAATAACATGACGGTTGTGTTTCATCTGCCAAGGTTTTACTAGTTCTACATAACAATCTTGTGTATAATTATAAAAATAATCAATCATCTTCAGTACAAATTAATGTTTAATGTAGTGAAAATTCATTAAATCTCTGTATGTTATAATAAGCATGAATGTAGGTAAAAGTACTGACTGAATTTATTGTAGGCATTACACAAAAAGAAAGCTAAATAGTGAAGCAAGTAAATAAGAAGCCTTTTCTGCAAATATCTGAATCATTTTATTGAAGTAATCAAAGTGAAAGATAATTTGCATTTGGACATGCGCATTTAATGGAAATATCTTAAAAACTGTATAGTTGTCAATAAAAAAAATTTTCAAAAATTATAGTTTCTTTTAGTGATATTAAGCGTTTTCTTATGATTTTTATGTATGAATGTACCACAAAAAAGGAATCTTTTCGAGAATGATAATGCAAGTTAAAATTAAAAATATAAATATAATAACCAGGGGAAATAATCAAAGTAGGTTTCATGTGTTCTTGACAAGATATGAGAAAAAACACATTCTTCATGCTTTGTCAAAGCATTTACAAATGGTTGTATTAATTACTACGGTCATGTCTATCATCTTATTTACACACACTAGATATTTTCTGATATAAAAAGTATTTCTATCGGATGATGAATATGTGAACATATGGATAAAAAATCCCTCTCGTGGAATCATTTTAATTCTTGATATGGAGCAATGTTTGTGGATACACGCTTGCAAAATTTTATTGTTTCCTGCGGATTTTATTTCAAGAAAGTTATGCGTATATTCAGACCATTCAATGGATAATTCTATTTTTATACATACAATTGTGTATCTGCTTTAACTGCTTCTTTTTTTGTTTTCGTTGATGAAGTCGGTTGTTCAAGATTAGAATAACATTCCTGGGGCTAGTAACATAAAGCTTGCTAAGTTTTTGACTTAAGTAGGGTCATAAGTACGTTTTAGGCACAATCTTAGGACCTGCCTAAGTACTACTTAAGTATGTCTTAAACCGTAACATAAAGCGAACTTAGGAAGGTCTTAGCTAAGTCAAACTTATGTTCAAAATACTTCTTATGAATCACCCTATATTTTTTCATTTTATTCAGATATATTGCTACAAAATGATTCGGTTACGTTTTAATCAAATATTTATAAAGGTTAACGTCCTTACCTATCGTTTTAGTTATGTAAGATTAGATTTTGTATTAAAGATATAATTTAATTTGCTGTAAAATACACTGCATATTTGATTAAGTAAAAATACTGAGCGGTCACATAACGGTGATCTGTGGTTCATTGTAAATGTATGACTATTGTTTATCCCCCGAAGCTGCGATGTTTTCAGTTACCGTTTATTGTTCTTTTGTTTTGACAAATGTTCACTTGCTTTGTTATTCTCGTAGACATCTGTCTACTTTAAATTAAAACTCTAAAAAAGTGCAAAACATTTTGAATCCCCCCTCCCCCGATGTCTCAGTCCATGTCAGCAAGCAAAGATTGGAGTAGTTATAATTATTTACAATTACATCAAGAGTGGAAATTCTTTCAGGACATCTTTTTTTCCCATTTACCCTCTCTCTCTCTCTCTCTCTCTCTCTCTCTCTCTCTCTCTCTCTCTCTCACCCACCTAGCTCTGTCTCTTGATCAATCAATCGAACTCTAGGAAACCCTGTCTAAATACGCGCTTGTCATTCTACATTTATTTTAATTTACAGACACTCTTTATTAGTTTTTTGGTCATCATCCCCTTACTCCACAACATTTTTCTATGTTTAAAAATCTATTTCATCTCATATTTTCAAAGTCAACATACAGATCCATGAATTAGACTATTACTGTACGTGTTCAATTTACTTATAATGATTAGTGGATTAGTGTTTATACCGATCTAGGTAGGTCCCACTAATTTCAGAGGAATCCCCCAAATTAAATTTTGATTTTCATGTACGATGTCTTGAGAGTAATAGTGGAATCATTGATCAGTAACCCCCCATCCCCCACCCCGACGCAAAAAATTCTCATAATAGTATTTAATAGGAATTATTAATTTCTTCTATGCATAATATGAATAGAGGAATGCTTTAACACCGAAAGTCAGCATAAAATAGTTTTGAATAGATGTATAAGAAAGTTAAGATATACTTAAGTCACCTCTTCCGACCGCCTAAGTTTTGCTAAGATTGTCAAATCTTAGCACGCTTCTAGTTACGGTCTTAAGTTTTAGACCATACTTAAGTCCTACTTAAGCACGGTCTTAGACTTAAGTAGCCTTTATGTTACGACCCCCTGGTCTGAAAATATGAACATTTAATTAAAATATCTCTCTCTCTCTCTCTCTCTCTCTCTCTCTCTCTCTATCTCTCTCTCTCAATAAAGCACACATACTTACACACACATACACAAGCAAAATATAATTTTTCATTCTTATTTTTCGAGTTTCATTGAGTATACAAAATAAAAGGAGTGATTACATTTGAAAGATTCGTTTGACTGGAATCTTGTAGGACACGGTGAGGAAAATTTTGTACAGTCTAATCCTGGATCATTTATTATTCTTCCATCTGCTACACTGAATCTTGCACAATATCCTAGAAAAATGAAATAAAAACCAAAGCTTATTTTAGCCACAAGCAATACAAGTTTCAACATTCCGATAAAAAAGTAAAAAGATGATTCAAGGAAAAAAAACAGGTAAATTGCTCATCAAAGGCTTCTATTTGTTCTTTTATTAATTTTAGCATATTATTAGCACATTGAATATGCCAATGGGTACTAAGTGTTAAAAAATATTACCATCTCCGGTATGATTATAATGGCAAAGACCATGTTTTGTTTTGAGAGATCCGAAAAGTGTCAAATCAAAAAGTACAAAAGGTGGGGAGGGGGGGGGGGGTAAATTATAAAAGCGTGAACAAACGTCAATCGTAAATACTGATGGTCTTGCCTCTAATTGGCTGTACTCCTGATATAATTGATTGTACAATGATTTTGAGAAAGTGTCATCTGCGAAACGTTCTTTCTTTGATGAACATTTTTTTTGTTATTTAAAAATCCAGCTTGTTAAATAATAATGCTTAAGATGTTTCAGCCAAAATTCTTTTTGAATGTGTCTGGTCATCATTGGGAGATTTAATCAAATACAAACAATCACCAACTAGAATAAATGATAGATCTCTTTTTATCAAGTATGATTTCTTCTGTCTTTCAAAGTTTGTCTATTTGGAATTTACAAATTACGCAAGAAGACCAATCTTATTAAAATTTATCGTTAGATCAGCTAAAAAGCTCGTTCCACTTAAGCAAGTCTGTGAGCGAATCTAACATCAAATTTTAATTAGATTGCAAGAAGACATACCTGACATAAACCAGGATTGGGCACAGACTTCAATATATTTGGTCCCATCTTTGCTTAAAACACAGTGGTACACAAACTTTTCGGGGTCAGTGCAACTCTGCAGTGTTGCCAGTTTGTTGCACTGTTTTTGTTGTGCAGCTGATTCCCATTCTGTTTCATTAGACGGACACCTTGACACGTAGGATACAGTTGGTACGGTAACTGGACATGATAGGCCAGGTGATGACTGCATGACAAGATTATATGAATTAATGGAAAAATTTGGATGCATATGCTTATTTCGTGTGGTCATTTTTCTGTAATAAAATGTACTTACAAATAAAATTGTATTAAAAGGCAGAAGAATACATGATAGGAGAAAAACTTTCATCTTCAGTCAAACAAAGGCTGAATAATTGCTACAAAAAGAAATACATGCATTATTAAGAAAAAAGGAAAAACTATCAATAATAGGATTACTTGACGTATTGAATATGCAGAAATGCTTCTATATGAATACATTTAAGTGCTTATTTTAAAAGATGCTTGAAGTTTGCCGATAATATTATAGAAACTACATATGAAATAAATAAAATAATATATACATTAAAAAGATACATATATTTCTTCACAGACAACCTCTGTGTACATTATATTCCTATGTCTCTATAGTGACATCAAGTATTTCTTTTTCATAATCTTGATTTTTAATTTCCTTGAAATATCATAGAATACGCTTTACTGACTGTTGTCAAGATTTCTGTTTTCGCGTGCGGTGTAGATATACTCGTGTTTCGGGAAATTCCGCAGATACATATTTAATATGTTGTCAATGTACCAACCCTTTTTCTCTTTATGTATCTTTTTTTCAAGATAGTTGAAAATCTCATGTTAGATAAAGTCCATTTAAAATAATCTAACTGTGTCTCGTGTCAAGCCCTCAACACATGTGTGTACGACATATTATTTTAAAGATAGAACCTTATGTCTGTATAAGATCAAGATAGCATAAAATTCAAATACATATGGTAAGCAAACAGGGTGAACAATGGTATATAGAACTTTAGTATTATTTTTACGTGTATATTCTACGGAAAATACGATAAAAACCTTTCCCTATGGCTAGAATATGGGGATCCTTGACTTCAAGCTAAAGATATCACAAAATAGATATCTTTATATTCCATGTAATATCATTAATTCATTTTTCTAAGTTGTGACATATTTTTCACGAGATATAAGTACTGCATTATTTGTATCATATTTGTTTAAAGCTAGTATGTCTAAATACTGAAATAATTGAAAAAAATGTAGAAGTCTGTTGATTCGCTTTATTGTAGGTCATGTTTACTCAGTGTGATATACATCAATATTTTGTACATAGCAATTGATATTTTACCTATTTTCAATTAAATAGCAAAAAAAATTGCAAAATAATTTTTTTTTTTTGGGGGGGGGGGGGGTGGGGGGATTAGATATAAGAATTATTTTTTGCACGTGTCTAAAAAAAGACTGCAAAACCGAAAGTACATTTGAATACATAATTATAAATGCGACCAAATTACATTAAAATAACCGAAAATGGTAAAAAAAAAAAAAAAAAAAAAAAAAAGACTACTTCAGAAACCTGTGATTAATACCAAATTTGCCTTCAAATTTCTTTTGATATAAAAAAAACATAGCGAACTTGACGTATCCAATAAATATCTAACAATGAAAATTTAACAAAAAATTACAATGAAAAAGTAGTTGTAACTTTTGTTCTTAAAAGAAAAATATTTGTTTAAAAAAAGCTTGGGGGAATGTACAAACAAAACATAAGAGATCTAATAAAACTACTTGTAAACTCTATAAATATTACCTTATTCTGTCGGTGTGTATAGCAAACCGAAAGTACAATAAACATTGTATTTTGCAAAAACAGTCAGGCAAATAAAGGGAAGACTTGCTTGAGAAAATATTTGGTTTTAAAAGCGGGAGGGAAAGCTTCGATTAATACTTACTTTAATTAATTTTCTTTCTTTGTTGACCAACCTTCCTTAGGGCAATTGACATAATACAAATATTTGTGCCGTAATCCCAGTAGATAAAGTTTAAAAAACTTCAGCGCATTGTTTTACACACACGTAACCTGAAGAAATAGGAGAGTTATCTTTAGATAGAATTTAAAATTTAAATTTAAATTAACGTAATTTCATTGCATGTCTGAAACAAAAGTAGAATCATCCAATATAAATTTATCTTAGGTATTCCGAAAGGCCGTTTTCATTTTAATTTATCCTTTAATGTAACAAAAACAAAAATCAATCCTAATCCTTGCATGTGAAACACCATAAAAAAGTTTTCACGTCATTGTAAACCAAATCATTTATAAATCTCTATGGTTTATCTATGTAGTATCGTAAAACTGCACAGAATTTCAAGCTTTAAAGAGTGTCGAAACCTTTTTTTCTTCAAACCAGTTACAGCTTCACAAACATAAGCTAATTTTTTTCATTTACAGTTTTAACTTTAACAAATTTAAATAAATATGAATAATTTTTATGTTATATTTGCATTTTTGTATTTGTACATAAAAACGATCACTTGAATAACTTTTACCACGCTGTTCTTCACCATAGTCCCCTCCTTGTAATACCACTGGTGACCTATCCTAACCCGGGGGTCATGATTTGATTATCCACTGGATGCTTCCGCATATATGTTTAAGCATGTGGTTGTTGGAGAGAAGATTTTTAAAGAATTCAGTGTAAAATTTGATATTCCCCTAAACCGAGGGTTCATGATTTAAACAACAATTTAGAATCTTCATGTACACAATCCAAGAATGCTTTCACATAAGTTTCACCTTTCTTGCCCAGTTGATCTCGAGAAATTTTTAAAAGATTTTCCTACACATTTCAATATAAAAATTGGACTTCTTTTTTTTACATACCCCACCTTATATTTATCTTTTCTTGATTATTTACCCTTTGTAAGGGTGTTGGATGCTTTGTACAATGTGAAAAGTTTACAAACGGACGACGGCCATTGTTTGATTAGACAAGAGGCCCACGGGCCTTATAGGTCACCTGAGTATTGTGTAACCACTTTCAACCAATTAAATTTGGTTTGTGTTTTAAACCAGAGGCCATGAAATTCACAATTCACAATTTTGAAAGAGGCGCCATTGCTAATCATTATTATACACTTAACATACTTACTCATTTTACTTAATACCCAGAAGTAGATCAGAGTTACAAAGTGAAAATGCACTTCCATTTTATAACCAGTTGTGCACCTCACCCCAAAGAAACCACAGACCCAGGGGCCACATATTTCAAAATTTTGCAAATTTTATCATAAAATGGTTGATTAATGCCAAACAGCAGATTTCAAAGCATTAATTTATTTTCAGACTATGTAACCCCCACCCCTACCCCTCTGAACCAGGGGGCATAAAAAACACTTTGCTAGATGCACCTTTCTTCATCATATTAAATATATATACTTGGATCATTGGCATAAAACCCAGAAGCAAAGGAAAATGTTTTCAAAGAATTAATGTATTTTTACGATATAATTAATAGAGCCCAACCTTAACACCAAAACCCCTGACCCTGGGGCCATAAAATTCACAATTTTAGAAGAGGCATTCTTGCTCATCATAACTATGTACTTAGTTAGTTCATTTAATACCAAGAAGCTATAAGATGATTTTCAAAGAATAATGCATTTTCACTATATGATCAATAGAGCCCCACCCTAACGCCAGAACCCCTGACCCTGGGGCAATAAAATACACAATTTTATAGGAGGCACTATTGCTCATCATAACTATGTACTTAGTTAGTTTATTTAATATCCAGAAGCAAAGAAGAAGATTTTTAAAGAAATAATGCATTTTCACTATATAATCTATATAGCCCCGCCCTAGCACTAGAACCCCTGACCCTGGGACCATAAAATTCACAAATCTGGAAGAGGCACTCTTGCTCATCATAACTATGTACATAGTTAGCTTATTTAATACCCAGGAGCAGAGAAGAAGATTTTCAAAGAAATTATGCATTTTCACAATATAATCTATATAGCCCCGCCCTAGCACTAGAACCCCTGACCCTGGGGCCATGAATTTCACAAATTTTGGTAGAGGACTCAATGCTCATTACATTCATGCCAACAGTTTGCCTGCTTGATGTCCAGGAGTAAATAAGAAGATTTTTAAAGATTGCAATAATTTTAGTGGTTTTGCCCCACCCCTCAGGCCCCAGGGGGGGAGGGGCATGAAATTCACAATTTGTGTTCCCCTTTACCTATAGATGCTGTATACCACATTTGGTTGAAATTGGTTTAGTGGTTTCAGAGAAGCTGAAAATGTTCAAATATTAACACACGACACACGACGCACGACGACGGACGAAAACGAATAGCAATAGGCACCTGAGTTACTCAGGTGACCTAAAAAGCTCACTTAAGCTTTCAGCTTATGAGAGCAATAAATGTATCAATAAAGTTTTCCATACGATAATCCAATTCATCCTATTCAAACAACTTCGCTAAACTCATTGTTGATCAATAATTTCAATTATAAATTCATTTTCTGAGTGTAACTTGTTTTCATATTTTTCATCAATTGAGATGCAGTTATAACAAGGCATTTATACACATTCCCGAATAAAATGTATACAAAATCTATAATTTATCTTGGAGTCTTACACATTTCTTTCATAATCAGATACTTCACTAGCAATAGAAAAAGACGTCAATGGTAGCCACGTGACAAACCTTTATAATAAACATGATGACTTCAAACTTTTCAATAGTACATTTCCTTACTTGATTTTATCGGAACATATTTTATTGTTTATTTATACTTTACAATTGGGATTGGGCAAAAGTTCTTAAAACTAAATACGACCTTTCCCTACATTTCCTCACTTATGCAATAATATACCCTTTTTACTTGCATGCGTAATTTATACCTTTCATTTGATACGATACCCAAGAGTATGATCTTAACATAAGCAATTTCTTAAACGAGGTAATTTATTGGCAATTACAAGTTTTGCGTGTGCGTGAGGGTGTGCGTGTGCGCGTGTGTGTGTGTGTGTATGTATGTATGTATGTATGTATGTATGTATGTATGTATGTATGTATGTATGTATGTATGTATGTATGTATGTATGTATGTATGTATGTATAGTTTCGAGTCTTGTGATTCTTTACTTTTTTTCATTGGATATATATATATATATATATATATATATATATATATATATATATATATATATATATTTAAATAAATATATATATATATATATATATATATATATATATATATTTAAATATATATATATATATATATATATATATATATATATATATATATATATATATATATATATATATATATATATATATATATA